AAGCCCGGATCTATTTGACATTCAGTAAGCATTACACACACAATACGAGCTAACTTCCATCTCCAGCACAGCACAGCACTGTACTTTAAGCAAAGCTGATGTGAGGATAATACAGACATGGCTGCTATCAGGGAACACAAACATGCCGACAGATGGAAAAAGGTAGTAGACAAAAGAAAAGGATGGATGGAAAAAAGAAAGTAACAAAGAAGAAATCAGAGGGAATGGAGTGAAAAGAAAAACTGATGGAAGAAAAACGTGGATGATGAAATCCAGACGAATGTGTAAGTGTGATCCTGTCAAAGAGGTAGGGAGGTCGGCACAGGACAATACGAAGATTGTTGGCTGCTGGAATATTTATGCTGCAGTGAAGTGATGATGAAGGTGGAGCTCGACGTGCCTACCTGCCATTGTGCTACGCTGAGTGCCTGGTCACTCCTCCTGTCAATCAACCAGTCACTCAATCCACAGAGCAGTCAGTCAGTCAGTCCACTTGCCCTCACTCTTCCTCCTTAGAGACTTCCTGGACTCCCACTCCCTCCCCTTCCCATCTGTGACCGGTGCTTGCTCACCCTCTCGCTCTCTCACTATCTCACACACACACACACAAAAATAAATCATCACCCATCCTCTTTTGCTGACCCACTCCTTCCTCCACCTCCACTTCCTCCTTCCTGTGCCACTCCCTCTTCCTCCTCCCACTCCCTCCTCCTCCTCTCTCTCTCCTCTTTTTTTCCTACTCCTTCCCTTACATCCCTCCTCCTGTCTCATTAATTAGCTACAGGCAGAGAGAAAGCCGAGGCAGAAGGGGTGGAGCCTGGCTTAGGGCCACACAAACACACTGCACCAGCATCAGCATCAGCACAGCCAGGCACCACCAGGAAGAGATGCTGCGACGTCCGGGATCAATGACATGCACTCACACACCCACAGAAAGGATACACACCACATGAGAATAAATGCCACCACTGTAGTCTGTGTCCTTGCAGGTAAAAATGTAAAAACTGTCCAGTTACCATGCAGTATATTCTCATTCAAGATCTACATGCACTCATCTGGAAATGTTTCAAACTGGTAACAACAGTATGGCCGATTTCGGTGCTTTAAAAGATGAGTCTGTGATATTCTACAGACAGGAAAAGGCCAAAACCAATGATAACAGATCGATTTCCAGTCTATGTAGCTAAAGTGTGACACAGCTTAATCTTCTGTGCTGCACTGTATGCTGTTTCAGCCTCCTTAAGGGACGATAGATTATAATGCCAACACCCCACAATATTATAGAGAACTCCACTCATTGCATGATCCCCAACGAGCAGCACCTGGTGAAAACTGGGAGGAAGAACCTTCAACAAGAAGAAACCTCATTTCACAACACCTATACCAACATTTAAATAAACAACACAGTAAATCTTACATTTTAAACACTTGCCTTTTGAATTGAAACCTCAGCGTACCATGAAGATAGTTCAGCAGACTGGTGCGTGACGCTTTTTTCTTTTCATTGCCACTAAACAGAGTTTGCAAATGGCAGCTGTGCAGCGTACAGTATGCCACGATTGACGGGTTCGTCGCTGTAACGCTCAAACACTGCTTCAGCCGCAAGTCATTTCAGGCTTCAGCTGGAGGAACAGACTGTACTCTGCACTGGCAAAGTGGCACTCTGCAGGTTGCACAGCATCACTTTGCACTGTAAACGGGGTCCAGATGTCAGTATGGATTCATGCACTCATGCGCGTACTTTCGTAGAAATAACAGGTGCATGTTGTTAAATACCCCACTGCAACAAAGATGAATCATAAAATATGGATGTGCAAAGGGAAATGGCCCATTTAGAGTCTTGTTTCTTTAGATAAAATAGTGAGATATGAGATTTAGTTAAAAATCTTCTTCATGCCCCACTGATGACCAAATTAAATTTGCATATGAAATAATAATAATAATAATAATGGATTGCATTTATATAGCGCTTTTCGGGAACCCTCAAAGCGCTTTACAATACCACTATTCATTCACTCCCACATTCACACACTGGTGGAGGCAGCTACAGTTGTAGCTTCAGCTGCCCTGGGGCAGACTGACAGAGGCGAGGCTGCCATATTGCGCCATCGGCCCCTCTGGCCATCACCAGTAGGCGGTAGGTGAAGTGTCTTGCCCAAGGACACAACGACCGAGACTGTCTGAGCCGGGGCTCGAACCGGCAACCTTCCAATTACAAGACCCAACTCTTGAGCCACGATCACCCCAATAATGCAAACTATTATTAAAACCGGAACCCAAATAACAAAACAAACTAAATTGCTAGTTAGTAGCGTAAACCTCCTGTCGACTCTAAAACAACAGCACGGAGAGAAGTGAGGCACACTGAAATTTATTGTGAGGCCATTAACGACGTCTGTGTGCAGACTTTAATAGCTGAGAATCACTTAATGTCTGTACAGTGTGTCCTCATATGTCTCTGTGCTAAAGTATCACAATATGAACAAGTACATTCGATTCAAAGGACAACTGTGCGATTCTGAAATGAGCTCAAGAGTAAAAGCTCTGAGGACAGAGAAAGAATGTATAAAGTAGCCTGATGTGTTGTATTTACCTCAACAGCATCATTTAGATAAAAGCTATAAAACCTGTCAGAACTGGAAATGCTAAACTAACTCATTATACTGCCCTACAAATAGAACATCCAGCTTTATTGGAACCAGACGTTCAACGTGTTCAAAGAGACTATGTGTTTAATTTGACTAGAAAATGTTTTAAACACTGGAGAATCCAAACTGCATTTGGCTCAAGCGTTGACCAGGACATGACAACAGATCGGATCAAGATGGAGGATCTCTGGTTACAGCAGTGAGAGGACAGATGGCAGACACAAGAAGATTGACAGACAGGTCAAAGGAAAGGGAACGAAACAGGGTGCTTCAATAGACACGTAAAAGATGACACATTTTCGCTAAGTTAAACTCTCTAGAGCTTCCTGTTGCTAACAGAGTCTACTAACAGAATTATAACACACTCTGTTCTCTACTTAGCTCATTCCTGTCTACCTGCAGCCTGCTACCTGCAATAAGACACCATCATGTTATTCTTATGACTGATTCACACTTCACACAGGCATATTTCAGCACCTAGTTTAAAACTAAACACTGTTTATTGTCTGACTGTAGTATCCAGACGCAGATTAAATACTGTGCTTCACCCTGTTGACCAAGGAGGGTGCAAATTACTTCTGTTTTTGCTTTCAATAATTTTAGCAGTAGAGTCCCCACTCAAAGTCACAATCCAAACCAGCTAAAAACAACCCCATGGCATGTTCGTGCATGAAAACGCTGTGGTGAATAGCAGGTAAAAAAAAAATACAGTCTGAAAATAATACAGCAACCATAATGTAAGGAATCAGCTCGCGTTTAATTGGATGAGAACCTACAGCCTTCATGGCACACAGTGACACCTCATTAACGTACCCACTTGTATCTTAAATGTCCTTCAAATAAATAGTCCGAAAAGGAAACTTGTCAGTTTTATCAGATGGCAATAACCTACATATAAAAAACAGCAATGTATTAATATTATTAACTGCTGATTTAAATCAAAGTGCCATTTTTGTTTTAACATTTAAAGTGAAGAAGCCAAAAAGCCAGTCATTATGCATCCAAAGTGGTCCAAATAAAGCAGTTGACCCTCAGCTGCAGGACCAGCTGTCACTCAACCAGCCTCCACTGTAACTTACAAGCAAAATTTTCCTCTTTTTGTTTTAATTTGAGCTCAGCTACTCTGAAGATCAACGAGCCGAGGCTGTGCATTTGTCTTACAGTTTAACTGAAATCATTATGATCCAGGAAGCTGCAGGAGGCTTTGGACCGCCGCCTCCACCAAATGCTTTGATTGGCACATGCTCCTTCTTGGATAACACACATCACAGCTCTGATCAGACTCTCACGACCCCTCACTGTCTCCCCACCTGCTTCTCAATATGGCTGTCTGTGAAGTTTAGTTGACTGCAGGGTTAATGCAATCCACAGATACTTCCCTAAGATAACAACAGTTCAAACGCCTTAAACTGCTCCACCGATGGTATTCGCATCTTCACATGAATCTCTCCACAGAGACAATTTGTCTAAAACAGCCTTAGAAACTCATCACCACCTCGTACACCTGTCACAATCCTCTAGCGTGACCACAGATACGATCTATTCTAGCAGCATCAGGCGAGCATTTGCATCATATTTGTTAACCAGGATGTGACCGACACAGGCAGACGAGGCAGGGGGGGAGAAGGAAACTGTCAAATGGCCATCAGTGTAAAAAATTAAGCTGCTGCTATTGCAAACAAGACAAAGTTCCTATTCATGATGGCAACCACAATCCCTCCACCACTTTAGTGCTAAAGGCAACAGGTCAATTGTATTTCTAACAGAGGTTTATGGCCCTGAAGTGTGGTTCTTCACTCATGTAAATGACTTAGTGATGATAACTCAATAAATTTTACTCTCTAACTATTAAAAACACAACGCTGTCAGAAAGAGATCCTGAAAGTGTCAAACAGCTGGGAACTGTGGAAATGAATATAAGCTATATCTAAATTGTAATAAAAAATAAATAAATAAATAGATTAAAAATAATAGAAATCTTTGTGCCTTCAAACGCAGTTCACTTAAAATGTGTTCATCTGTTTTTATTGTTGCAACTAAAAAAACTGTACGTTGACAACAGTGTTAAAAATAAGTAAAATCATACAAAGCTCATTACACAAACACAAACCACGTAAGCACAACATCAACATCTCTTCTGATATTTTTCAAAATATATTTTAAAACGTCCTCCAGAAGAATGCAAAAACATGTTTGTTTGTTTTCTCGATTTTTCTGAATGAAATAGGAGAGCTGTGCAGCTGTCTGGACGGCGGTGTTTTTTATTTTCCCCCTGTTGTGTGTGATGGAGAGGAATGAGAGGCAGCTCACCGTTGTTGCAGTACTGTAGCAGCAGGTTGGTGCTGTCATACAGGCTCCCACACGAAGCTACCCGCTCCGACATCCTTTCCTCCTTTTGTTATCTCTTCTGTTTTTCCAACTCTCACTCGTCTGCTTTGTCCTCCTTTCACCTCTCTCCCTCTCTTCTCACGCCGTTACCCCTTTCTGTCTCATCATACAAACACGCACACACACACACATACACACTTTTACCTGCCTCAGCTCTCCGGCTATTCCCGCTCCTGCCTTACTGTCACCGTCAAGTGCACCCTGTGGGACAAACTGCACTTCCTCTGCGTGCTTTCAAAGTAATATTCAACAATGCTCCTCAGCCACTTAATATGATTTGGAAGACTTATGCGATTGTGAAGTAAATTTTGGACTAAATTAAATGTAGATTTTAATACAATATCAAAACAATACAGATTAAAAATGTTTCTATATAGTCACCTTAATTTATACAAATGACAAAGACTCTGCAGTGAAGTTATTTTGAAACACTATGGAACCTAAAAGACATTCAATTCTACTGGTCAGCAGGATATAAGCAGTTTAATCTGACTTTTCTTCTTTTAAGTAAATAAAAAGGTAATTATCTGTAATGTTTTAAATTTATATTTCTGGGGACATTTTTATTTATTTTATGTTATCTTTTTTTCATTACTTTTATTTATTTATTTACTTTCTTAGTTTTGGGTCTCCTTTGCAATGGGACCCGCTTTTATTTTGAAGGGAGAACCATGTTTCTTCCGGCAATAATCTAATTGACATCTTCCCGTCTGTCTGTCTGCCTTGTGTGCCGCTGTTCCTATAGCAACAGCCTCTCCGGCAGCTGTGGTCCGGGTAGCGATCATTGGCGGCAGGAAAGCTATACAGTTTGTAGAGTGTAGAAAACACTGAACTAAATGAAACAGGTTTGTGTTTGTGAGACGGGAAAGGTGATCTCAGGCAGGCGTTGCGTTCCTGAATAATTGACGGAGAAACGGTGTGCTGCACCTGGCACACGTGTTTACAATCGATGCCAGAAACCGTTGAGACAGAACTGGAGGTTGAACCTCTTCCGCTGCAGCCTCTGAACATGTTCGGCTGGCAGTACCTGCTTTTAGTTACGATTATTAACATTTCGACTTACGAATACCTTGTTTTTTGGGTTTCTTTTTGCCCTCTTTTTTTAGTAAGTAATAAAATCATAATTTTATAAATTTATAAATTGCCCTTGATGTTGATTATTATTATTAGGTAGATGTTTTGGGACAAATATTGAACAGAAAGATTGCTTTCAAAAACTGTATTAATGTTTTTATTGCTAACAAAGCAAAACACATTTCAGTTAGCTAAAGGACACATTTTGAATAAATAAATATCATGATTGGTTTTAAATGCAGACTGTATGTGACTGAATTTCATCACCAGGCCTCAAATGCATAATTAAATGAAACTAGATTCAATTTCATAGAGCACGAAGAAATGATCAGCATGTCAGAGAAGCTGACTTGTCTTGTGTCTTCTTTTTAAGTAAAGACTGTTACAGACTACTTTGATCTAATACTGTTAAATCTTTCTTATGGTTGGTTAGTTCTACAT